TGCGTGCTAGCGTTGTCCTCTTACCAGCCTTTTTAGCTTACAGACGCAGGTTGATGATTGGTTTCTTTAATTCGGAACATCGTCCCTGACCCAACAGTCTAGTCAAATTAACCCGGAAAGCATGTTAGACAGATACTGTATGCGTGTCCGATCTTACCTCTACGTTCTTTGATCCTATAATGCATTTATTGAGAGACTAGGCCTCGGAACCTCCTCTCATTTGTCTATGCCACAATTGCAAGCTACGTAACGCAATCGGCCGTTTCTGCACTTGATCCAACAGGTGTTAGACGAAGTACGTTCCTTCAGCAACCGAAGATTCTATAGCTGTACTTGCCACATGTTATGTAGGCATCTTGAAGCCATCTTGATCCAGAAATCCTGTTGATGTTCGTACATAAGTACTGGATAGATGGTAGATTTACCAAACTGCTCACTTAAATTTGCGTTTCTCTCTGGGAAAATCGCCAGACGTAATGCTCGTACCGGTAGGCAGCTGTTTTCTTTCTCACTCTAATTCCCATCCTTCTAGGAGATATAACGTAGTGTGTGTATCTCTTGTGCGGTGTCTCATCTTGTTATGTCGTTTTAATGTGTGTCTTCTTGGCAGCCACCGACTGAAATAAGACACGTTACATTAATTACGTTCAGTCAGAGGTAACAGTAAGGGAGATTGATATGTTTTCCGTTGTCATCTAACGATAACATGCATCATTGTCACTAGTGATGAATGAATGAGTACAAAGTGGCATTTCAGCATGGTTTTCCAATCGGGTAACATATGACGGCAGCGTGTGCCTGTAATGGTATTTGTGGTTGAACAGCATAACTCAAGAAACCGTGGATAGTTTGTTACGAAATTTAATGTGTGGCTGGGTCTTGACTTTCCAAATAAACTATTGGATTTGGGGCCCCACTGGCAGCTTTGAACAAGCTATGGTCACGATTACATTGGCGCATGTATATAGCTGTACAAAGATATACGTCTGGGCCTTCTAGCAACTCTCTTTGGAACTGAAGGGATTCATTTTTATGGCTTCACCACACCACTTCGTGCTGATTGGCTGCTGGGATTTAATTGGGGTAACTGCATTAGCACCGGCACCAAGCCCTACCATATTGACAGTATGTACTTCATTCAAGTGTTCCTGCTCCAGCATTGGAATGCAGTACATAAAAGCTTTTTTTTTTAAATCTTGAAACAGTTTGCACTATGCAAATAAAAATCATAACCAATTATGTAGGTGATAACTATCCAACTGTTGTATTCTTAGTTTTATGTCACTTCGTACTATTGTTATATTAATGCTAAGCATTATTTTCCCTTGTGTTTCTCCTTATTTCCCTGTTATGTCGTAAAATTGTGGTGAAGCCATCTGCTGCGTTTGCTCCAAAGCAAATGTCGGCATTTCTAGTTATTTTCCAATTTTACACTTTTGGCTATGCTCCAATTTACCCTCACATGTCTTTGCGCAGTTTAAAATCTAAACTAGAAAGGCTAATATTTGCTTTGGAGCAAATACAGCGATGGGTTCACCACATTTTACGACATGGCAGGGAAAGAATGAGAAACACAAGGGAAAACAATGATTTACATTGATATAACAGTAATATGAAGTAACATACGACTAAAACAACAGTTGGATAGCTATTCCCTACTTTATTGGTTAGGATTTTTAATTGCATAATGCAAACTGTTGATTTTCAAAATAAAAATAACATTCATGCCCCGCATTCCAATGCTGGAGCAGGAAAGCTTGAAATACCTACCAAAACACTTGAATACAGACATACTGTCAGTATGGAAATGCTCTGTGCAGGTGTTAATCAAGTTAAATCCCAACAGCCAATCAGCAAGAAATGCTCTGTGCAGGTGGAAATGCTCTGTGCAGGTGTTAATCAAGTTAAATCCCAACAGCCAATCAGCAAGAAGTATAGAGGAAAGCTGCATGCCTATTGGTTGATGCCCTGCATTCCATTGTGATGACTCATGCCCAAACGTGGTAAACACGGCACACTAACACAGTAATACATTTGCTATAACACAGCCAAAAAACTCAAATAAAACCATTCTAAAAGCCTGTATCACAAAAATTTAAAAAACGCCTAGGGGTATTTGCCCACTGTACCTCCATACCAAATTTCAGGACCTTAGGCCCTAAAATGAAGAAGCTGAATCCATTTAAAAAATGGCAGGAGAAGAAGGAGGAGGAGGAGAAGGAGAAGGAGAAGAAACACCAGAAAAAGCAATATGGTTTCACCACACCCACTTCGTGGTGTGGTGAACCCATAATTATTGGAAATACCATCTGAGATGTTCTACGATATCAAGTCATTGGTTTTAAAAATCGCATGCTGGATTCCATTTGCAGCATGGTGCTATAAAAACACGATTCTTCAACTCGATTAAACCTGGAAATCCAACAGTGATACATAAAAGCCTAAACACGGTAACAGCCCTATAAAAGCCTTGAAAAACCATGAAGATTTGCAACATGCTATGTAGACAATCTAATGCTAAGAATGCAATCGGAGATGTAACGTTAACGTTTTGTCACACAGATGAAGACAGAGGCGTCAACGCTCAGTAGACGTTGGCTGTTCTCTGTGCACTAGGAGCTTGACTAGGTGGTTGGCCTTGAAAATGCTAGATTGGACAGTTTCGTGTATCATTTCATCAGCGGTAACGTGCAGATTGATTTTACCAGTTGCTTCTTCCTACCAGCTATTGATTTGATATGTGGTTACATTGCTAAACTCTCCAAATACAACATGTAGTTTTGACGCATACTTCAGCACCGTTGTAACGTTGACGGGTCTCTGTTTTTTTTCGACAAATCCACAATGTTTTTGTTTGTTTAGTCACAATCTTTAAACTTCAGACACGCAGTTGGTCTTCCTGGATCCTCAATTTAACACCTCAGAATGTACATAACATTACTTTGATGCACCTGTACAAAAATGACACAAGTCTAACTGAGGTTTAACAACAGGAACGCCCCATATTTCCACCGTTAGAACCACCCTGCGGCATAACACACCAGCAGGAGTCATCAATAATTGTATGATTAATCATTTACCGATTGACAGTATCGACAAATCTGGAACATGCATATGATAGATTTGTGGGTGGGAGTTTTGTTTTCGTGCCATTTCTTCAAATCTAAACGTCAAATAGCTTATTCAAACCTTTCATGAAGAGTTAACTAGAAAGGTAACATTTGCAAAGCAAATGTATATTAATGTTTACCTTCGCATATGGTCTGCTCTGTTAATTCTTACTCAAACACATTCACATATATGGTGACAGGAGTCTAAATCCCTCCTACTATAAAATTGCAACATTATGTACCCCGACACCAGTTACCATGGTGAGAGACGGTCTGGTTCAGGTCATTGTCCAGGTCAGAGGTCACTGTTTGGAGAAGAAGAAGAAACTGAGCAAAAACAATGTTTTTCTTTGGTAAACAAAAATATCTTCCTAGTATAGTCCTTCTTCTCATTTTCACACCGGCCTTTTAATCTCTTTTTCTGACGGTCTCAAAAATTGGAAATCCGTTAACGGGTCCCCTGACATTCCCCAGTGACGTCACCAGCGGTTCCTATAATGATTATTGCTCTCCTGAAGTACACAACTGTGAGATATAGAACATGACCTGGGTCATCAACTAATATCATTATATATCAAGAACAGAACCACATTTATCTGTCATTTGGGGTAACTATGTAACTTACGATTGACAAAAGTGCAAGGATTTGTCAATAAAGACAGAGTGTAATGTTTGTAAATAATGTACAATCAATATTATCCTAAATGACATTTGCCATAGATGAAGTACAAACATATTTCTCTGGTGTTCATTTGGTTTGAACTATCAATGGATTATGGATAAAGTTTAATGCGTGTTAGGACGTAGGGTGAGGAATTTACCTAGCATCGGTATACATGTATGGCACAACGATACAATAAAGATACAACCCATGCACAACATAGTATATGAATATGTATAGATGACAAAGTATAGGCATATGCATTGCGTAAACTGTATGATAATATGTAGACTCGCTATCAACACTATATGGATGTGATATGTGGCATCATATATATGTATAAGATAACCTCAATAAACAAAGGCTTTCTTCAGCTATTGGGGATGTTGAGAAAAAATGAAGCGGCGAACCAAGACAATAAATTGTTTTGGCCTTAGTATGACAAAAATAAGTTCATCATAGAGTAGAATTTGGCTACTTTTCGACCCAACTTATTGTCCGATAGTTCACACAATAATGATGAAGTTTATTGCAAATTCATGCCCGCATACTAACTGCAAATTACAAACATAAAGGGACATTGAAACAGAGTATAGAATAACTAAAATGATTTATATCTATGGTAAAGAAAGGGTTCTCGTACTGGCTGATTTCTCTGTGAATAAACCGATATCTATGTGGGTTAATTGGAAAGGGCCGAGTTCCCAGAGCACAGATCAGTTTAAAGTCTGCAGAAGCAGTCATAACTCAGAGTTAACAGAACTAATGGTACTTGACGAGAGCCTCGTCCCTTACTGAAGGTCCCTCAGGCGCTCTTTCTTCTGAATTGAGCAGCCAACAAGCGTTGATTTACCTAGGCAGGTTTGGGCACAAGTCACATTGGTCGTACTGAGGGCATTCTTATGCTGCGTTAACATTTCCAAACCGGCGCCCGGCCAGGCAGTTTTACGGAACGAAAAGTATGATATGAAAGACGACAAAGCACGAAAAAGTTGAAAAAAAAAAATACTCGTGGAAACTATTTGCATATATTATTGATACAAATTGTTGATTTTTCGTTAATCGAAACAGCCCGGCCGGCCCCGGTTTGGAAAGGTGACCTCAGTATTAGGATAGTCTTCATTTGTCTTACACAAAAATCAACTGTCTGGTTTACCATTATTTTACGCGTTACGGAAATAAAAAGCTGTCAGAGCCTCAATTGTACAACAGATGTGACCGCCGTCAGTTTACTTCTTATTTGCTAACTCCGACCGACTTGTGTACGTTGCAGCCGCGTTTTCCATGGTGTCAGGATTCAGAGCTTGGTACGGCGACTCGTTGGGTATGTTTTCGTAGACGGTACCTCCCACGTCTTCCGGAGTTGCGTAGTTAGAGTCTCTGGGGGCCTGGAGGATGTTCCTGGTGTTGTTTTGACGTCTGTCAGGTCGGGGGTTTGATCTGTCTGGCGTCTCGGAGATGACCGTGAGGTTGTTGTCCATGTCTTGAGGATTTATTGCAGCGTAGATGTGGGAGTCTCGCGGGTTGGCAGGGGGGTTGGCAGGAGGGTCATCTTTCCTCCTTACCCTATCCACGTTCACCGCCTGTCTTGTGGCCTGTGATCTGTGATTGGGACAGTATTAAAGTGTTATTAACTAGAGAGGCCGACATTTGCTTGGGAGCAAATACAGCATATTTCAGTCCATCTCCCTCCCACGCAAGAGTGGACCATTCCAAACTTACCCCAGTGTAAAACTGGCAAAGATTCTCAAATAAATGAATTATATAGTAGTTATGTAATTGAGAACAAAGATGTAAGAACAAGCACATTGAATCTCGAAAGCTTTACTAATCTTATTACAGGTATGCAAATACTAACAATGATGAGCTTTGATACATTTTGAAGGTCTTAGGCACATAAAATTGAATGTGTGGGTCATTACGCACGACTTACGTGCAATGTTAGCCCAGGTAACCCGCAATGGAACACGTGTTCCATGGCCAACGGCAGATGGAACGGGCCATTCTTTAGATAGAACATGGAACGGGTATAGCACTTTTGGCCCTTTTTTTGCTGAAAATATCACTAAAGTCCCCCAAATGAGTCATTTGGAAGTGATGTATGCCAAATATGTGACTGCTATTCTGTAGACACATGTTTAAGGTACCCTTATACCGAATTTCAGATCATTTGGTTGTAAAACCAGGGCTCAGGATCCAAAAATCCATTTTTTTTTGGCGAAAAATGCCCAAAAAAACCTTCATAAAAATTTCAAAGGCATGTATCAAAAAAATGAAAAAACGCCTGGGGGTATTGGCCCACTCTACCTCCATGCCAAATTTCAAGTCATTTGGCTGGATGATGGCGGAGTTGAATCCCTTTGACTGTGTGGCAGGAGGAGAAGGAGAAGGAGGAGGAGAACAAACATGAGAGAACACAATATATTTCATCCATACCATGGTATGGACTGAAATATAATAAGAAGAAAATTTTACCATCCTTGCGAGACTAAACTCTGATTGTTAGAGGGGAATTTTTCAAACGGTTACAGAAATATACCTACTAAACGTTTGAACTTGTTGTACTGAATACATACCTTTTAGTTTTACGTTTTTTGACGAAGAACACTGTTCCTGCAACAATGACACAGAGGGCCACAACAGATGCCACACCAGCAACGATGGGGACTACAGGAATACTAGTGTCTGGAAAAAAGTAATAACTGTTAAATTGTGTTCACATACAAATGAAGAAAATATGCTGTTGTTATGAAAAGGGATTTTTTTGCTATTTCTGAAAGAAAGTAGACATTCAAATAGAAAAGGTCTTTATTGATAGTACCAATGAGCTTCATGACTAAAGCGTGATTTTTTACTATAGACTTTTTAGTCTTTCAGTTCAATATTACTTAGTATCTTGTCAGCATATGTGTGTGTGTTGGGGAGACTTTAATTTTCCATCAATGAATACAGCCAGCATGGACCATATATATATATAACGTGTATGACGTATTTAACTCTGATTGTCTATGCCCTGTGATTCCATTTCTCCATGGGGTTGACCGTGGAGGTAAATCTGAACACTGTTGTCATGTCTCACCTTTACAGAATATGTTTTCATCGTCTTCCCCGGGGCAGTCCGGAGTACCGTCGCAAACCTGTTTGTAGTCGATACACTTCCCTCCTCCTTTGCAGCGATACAGGTCATCTAGGCATCCTAATAATACAAGGATTGTTAGATTAAAATTGCAGAATGAGTAACATGATGATTATGATAATAATAAATCTGTTGCAAATAATATGTTGTCCCAAAGCTAGTTACAAAAAGACGAGAGAAACACACAAATGATGATCGGTTTTTCAACGTTTAAATATTAAAAAAGAATACCTGTCAGCTATGAAATACCATGAACTCAACGTTGATTTTTGTATTGTATTGTATGTATGTATTTATATTGATTTATTTTCCATAAATGCCACAGAAACCACACTTTAATTCTTCACAAGACAAACAAACAAATTCATGAACCTTCGTTTCCTTTTGGTGAAGAAGCCGGCGGCAAAGTGATTGAATGTGTCCTCTCAGACGTTTTCCCTTTTGTGGTTTTATCATGAAGGTCCACTGTCCTTGTATCAGGTGCATTGGTCGGTGTACCTGATGTTTCAGAAGCAGTGGATGCTCCAGGTGGTACAGCTGTTTGTTTGATTGTTGTTTCCGATGCAGGCCGTACAGTTGTCGGTATTTTTGTTGTTTTAATTGTAGTAAACTGGGTTGTTGCTCCAGGTACCGTAGTCCGCATTGTTGTAAATGCAGTGGTTGGTATTGTCGGTTTAGGTTCTGTGGTCGGTATGGTAGTTCTCAATGTCCAGGGTTCTGTGGTCGGTATGGTTGTTCTCAATGTCCAGGGTTCTGTGGTCGGTATGGTTGTTCTCAATGTCCAGGTAACTGTGGTCGTGATCACGGTTGTCGGTACTGTTGTCCGCCTGGTGATCGGTGCTGTTGTCCACGAAGGAAAAAAAGAATCTGTGAGGTAAGCCATTCATACATACTTGAATGTTCTTTGTGAGGGGGAAGCG